ATGTTCGTGTTCCGTTCTACGCCCTTGATTTGAGAACTGGTAGTAAATGTAAAATTAGAAGCATTTCATATGTATTTATTTTTTGACGTTCATAAGTGTACATTTTGTTACCTATATTAATAAATGATTTTATTTGAATTTCTAATTTCATTATTTTATCTAAATACCTTTAAAATTTAATTGCATTTTTATGTTAATTAATTGTTTTATAAGCTATTTATAAACAAAACATATTAACGCTGATCAAAAGATTACGGGTTGTTTTAAATATAAATACTTATTTTATTAATAAATCAGCATTAACCTGAATATAATAAGTTTTTAATGTGTCATATAAAAAACAATCAGAGAAAGCAGACATATTTTTACGTCTGTTCGATTGTTTCTAAAGTTCGTGATCAAAGCCCTGTCTGCACATCAACTACACTTAGGTTAATAGAATACTTGCCTTTAAATGTTTTTGAATCAGGTACTTGCGGGAACGGTGCTATCAAATAAAGTAGGAGGTATATGAGGGAGAGGCCGAACGGTCGTAATGCGATACCTGTAAAAAACAAAACAAAATCATTTACATTGTGTTTTTGGTAACCAGTTGTTCTTTCTAAATTAATAGATTCTTATAGAAGGTCTTTAATATGTAAGGGAGCAATTTTTAAAGCGCTTCCCATAATACATAAACTATTAACCCATACATCAATTTCTGCTTTATTTATCGAAAAGTACTGATAATCATAAAATTCGGTTCAGTGCAATGTATTTAAAAAGAATTGTTCATCTTTAAAAATCTTATAGTCTGAATGTCGAAACGCAAGATATTCAAGAATTATTCAGTTTCATGTGTTTAGTAAATATTGGTGGCATAGTCACCAACAGTTTGCTAGGGCTAATAATAAAACAAGTACGCAAACATTCTTATCACGTAAGCTAATCAATGCAATCAACACATACGTGTTATCTGCTATATGATGCATCTGTTATCATATAAGCAAGTATATATCGCAATAGTAATATTAAAAAAGCCATCGTTTCGACAATTAACTTTAAATTTTTAACGCATAATTTATTATTTTAATTATTCGAATTTAGGTAATTAATAATGTTGGTGAACTGAGTGTAGTCTCATGCTTTTGCTAGTCAGGAAACAAAAATAGAATCTTACGTCACCAGACCCAAATTTAAGTTACATTGCTTTACAGCCTAACGTCCTTGAGACCTCTACTTCTAATATTGTTATTCACAGAGCCAAATCACGTTTCCACGCAATTTATAAGCCGGTATATAAAATTCATTATAGCAATTTTGCGATAAACCGATGACCCAATATTTTGATACCAGATTAGCTTATAACAACTGTTTGATGCTTTTTTCATGGTAGTCCATTTGTACTTTGTGGAAAAGGGCGCCTTAAAAAAAGGTGAATAGTCTTCTATTCACCAAGTATAGAAGCGTATAGAAAGAAAGCCATAGATAGAGAAATTTGGAAAAATCTGGGCATTTACCCATGACGGGGTTCCGAGCAATGGTACTGAAGGATAACGAGTAACAAGAAAAAAAAGGTATATATAATATACCAAATCTAAGCTGTAAATTGTCAACATATTTTGTAAGCATTGTAAATAAACGGGCTTTATTATTATTTATTTGTACTATAGCCTCTGCTATCATGGCTCTATCGTCGCTCTTAAAATATAGTTGCCATGGTAACGAAAACGACACTACATTAAGGCCATGTTTTATGGCGCGTCTAAACAGGCCATGTTTTGCTGCAATTGATGGCTGCACTGTTGGCCACTAATTGCCCGGCCATTACAAAAATATTTTAATGCAGCTGATGGCCGAACAATCTATGGCTGGGCAATGTGTTGCAATAGTATGGCCCATGATGCAGCCTCCTAAACGGGCTACACAAACCGGCAACAATGGCTGACGAAATCACACTTGTCGCAGCAGATTATATTGTTTTAAAAAAGAAACAGAAAAAGAAGAGATAGTGGATTCGACCTTACTTAAATAGGCTGAAACTGTAGACAATTTGAGTCTAAAATAAGTCTTGATAATTTTCAAGAACTAGAATGTCAAAAGTAAACATTTTTACTAGTAATCTAACGTCAAATAAGCTGATCGCAAAACACAAATAAAGCAACAGGCACACTTATCAAAGCAAACGTCATGTCGCGTAGAAAAGGATAATGCCAAACAAAGAGAGTGACTGAAACAACAAGAGAACTGGCCGTGCAATATTGCAGTTGAATTCGATAGCCTAGCGATCGTCCGGCCACCTATCGGGGCAAACGGCCATATGTGGCTATACAAAACTGTTTGGCTATATGGCCGGGACATTACTGCAATATTGCATAGTGTGGCTGCTATTGTTTGCAATGTTGCCGGCCACAGTGTTGCAGCCATCAATTGCAGAAAACATGGCCCGTTTAGACGCGCCATGTTTTATGGTAAGACTAAAATTTGTCGAATCCGTTATTATAACCAGAAACCACGAATTGCGTCGGTTGCTTTTAATTCGTCAACAGCGCGGCATCTCTGTGTCCGTCGTTTGTTTGTTTGTTTGTTTTGCAAAAGATCAATCTAAACGTGTTAAATAAAAAGTGCACGAATCATTCCTCGATATTGTTTTTATTTTATTTTCACGTTTTAAATCCCTTTGCATTTACATCGAAATTAATACGTTTAGAAAGTTTAGATGAATAAATATTTTTATCATATATAACATACGACTATGCCCTGAAACGTGTCTTTTCCATATTTAACAGTATCCTTAGGTATAGTTTATTTGCAAACTACTAATTTAGTACTGAATGTCCTCCAAAACAAAATACGACGGCAATTTCGCTTCATTTTCCTGCGGCCTCCAAATGCCAGGCTAACATTTAGATGTATGTGGTATGTGTATATGTTCGACCCATTTTTCCATTATCTGGAACCGACCGACCTGGCTTTTATTGCCATTCCCTTTCTGTACTAAATTAACTGACCTGCTATTTCAATTCACTTTGATGTTATGCACTTAACTTTATAAAATCGTTAACGAAGAGCCAACTTCATAAAGGAATTATAAACATTGATTTTTCCGCTTCATTTGCTTTTAAATTCTACAATCATCTGAATGATTAAAAAACCATAGTTTTATTTTATTAAGTGAAACCGTGCGATATATAAACGACCATAAAAATGTAGAAACAATAGTGTTTATATGTATATAATGTAGATAAAGTATAAATTATAGAGTTCTTTGGAGAGTGGACACACTAGGTAGCGGACATACACAAATCCACTATGTTACTACCTATTCAATTTTATGTTTTGTAAAGAGGAATATAGTTTTTATTAGCCCCTCTGTATTGCCATTTGGGAATAACAAGCAAAAGTTCCACTGACTAACTCGGTAACAATGTGATATTCATCATAATTTTATTGATTAAAATTTTGCATTCAAAATTCCCATGCAAGTTGCAACAATGAACTTATATTTTATTACTGAAAATATATATTTTATATTATACGACTTTGAAGGCATACGATACAGCCATACTTTAGTATCTCCTATAGGTTTGTGAGTCATACCTGTGCCTATTAACACAGCTACTCATGTTAATAAAAAGTGTATATATATGTATAATGAAAATAAAAAAGTACGCCTACGATTATCTTTAAAAGATATAGATATTTTACTGGACAGTAATAAAAACACAAATAAAAGTAGTCGAATCCTATAAGAAGCCTTTAAGTTGTATAATATAAGCGGAAAATATTAGTTCACATAAATACATATAAATTGCATGGGATATACGTACAATATTTATATAATGTTAAAGTATAGAACTCTATAAATTATTTATTTATTTAAAAAACCTTACAGCTTACTAAACATTTTACAAAATCATTATAAATCGAAACGCCAATGTATGGTGCGTTCCACTAAGCGTTCACAACGCTCACGCTCACGACCGCTGATTTCCCCATTCCACTTGATTGTGAATGTTACTGTCGTTAACTCAAGTGGAATGGATTTTGGAGCGTTTCGGGCGTTCATGTAAATATTACAAATGGCAAGTTTGGAAATAGTAGAAGTTTAAGGAGGTTAGGTAATCCTAAACAATAAGTTTTAATATTTGTGACTTAAATTTATTTATGTTAAAAGTGAAGAATAATTGAATATTTTATAAATAATATTTCTTAACAGCTCAGTTGCAAAAAATACATCTACAAATAAAATAAATTTACCAAATATATATATATATTATTAATGATAATAAATATCGTTTACTTATTGAGTTAGGTTATTCAGGAAAAATGTATAAATAGCTGTTGAATATAAACTAAAATCAATTGTATTAAACTTATATTGCATAATTATATTTACCTCTTTCTGCACGAGCTTCAGAAACGATAGCTTCTACTACAATTTCTCTTTCAGAATCTAATGGTATTTTTCTTGTCGCCATCTTTAAGCTTTGAATATCATATTTCAAAAACAATTTCAAAAATTGCGCCGAATTGTTCTCAACGTTCACTTTGACCCACCTCTTTAGATGGATCGTTGTGAGCCTTGCGTGAGCATTAGTCATGACGTCATGAGTGACGTTTTCGCCGTGACCACAGCGACCGCGGTCGGTATGTGGAATGGCTAAAGGAGAATTTTGATCGTCGTGAGCGCTTAGTGGAACGCACCACGGGGTCTGTATTTGTTGTGTGTGTGTGTATATTAATAGTCTGATAGTGTGCTAAGGATATCATTTTGGCTTTCAATTAAGGTCTTTAATAAAGTATATGTTTTAATTTGTAGATCTGAATAATTATTAGTAATAAATATTTAATAATATAATTATAACTTTTAATAATCAATGAATTTACGCATTATACATTTACTTCAGACTCACAGACCTAATAGTATGTGGGCGTAAACCAGAACATTAAAAATACACCCGGCATTTGAATCACATTCAATCCTAGACAAAAATTAGAGTTCACTGCTTTAGATAAACAAAATTAGGCCAAGTTATTACACAAATAGAAATGACAGAGATTTACTGTTTCCAGCTAGGTACAGTGTAAGGGAACTTTTTGTTATCGCCTATACAACTGACGAGGAAATTTATTTTAGCATCGGTAAGTGGTGTTAAATAAAGGCAATTATTTGTATCATGTCCCGAATTTAGAATCACACGACTGTGATCAGTCTTCTGGGCCTACCAACAAATAAATAATCGGACTAAGAACCTCCGGGTTATACACACGTTAATCACTACGCCGCGGACATTATTATATTATTGCTATATAAAGCCGCGTGCGTCAACTCGACAATAAATTGCTGCTATGATGTCGATGACCTAATCATTATAATTACATATTTTATCAATTCCAAAATATAAACAAGCATTCTTTTAATTATTGTATATTACATACAATGTTACAGAGAATGTCCATAGCTTATAAAAGTAATTAAAATTAAGCTATAAAAGCAACAATGTTTAATAGGTTTTGTAGTCTATTTCAGAATTACATTAAAAGTCAAAAGTCTAAATCATTTATTCATATAGGTAACACAATGTACACTTATGAACGTCAATAAAGAAATATACATTAACTGCTTCTAATTTTACATTTACTGCCAGTTCTCTAGGGCGTAGGATGGAAGAGAAGAACTGGCAATAAACTCTCCGCCAGTCTTTTATTATTATTAATTTAGATAAACTATGGTTATCCATTTGTAGTATTTAAAATTGGAAGACATATTCTAGAGAAGGTTTTACAGCCAATTTTTTAATTTAACTGCCTGAGATAAATTCAACAGAAGTGAAAAACTATAAGTGTTAGCATTAATGTATTTAAAAATAACAAACACAACGATTTACGACGTTGCTTGTTTACTGCCTGTGTTTTTACCGTGCGGTTTTCATAAACTATTTCCACAGTTATCAGTTTCCATGTGTTAAAATGTAATAAATGAGAATGTGTATCAGACTAATGTTTATAGTTAGGTTATAGCTTAAGTTGTCACCTTCCAACTCGATATATTATTTTTTATCACAGTACGAACAGATAAACAATAAACTACAAGCTCCCACCTTTTCAGAATGCCAAATCATAAAATGACTGCTTCACGACTGATTTGAGAGCGACCGCCGATGCGAAAACCGCTGTGTGAGTTCGAAAAGTGAGTTACAGAATCGCAGGGCTGCATTACAATATCAGTTAACACTAATAGTGTATCGCCTTTTAAAAATAGCAGGATTTCACCAAACTGTATCGTAATTGCGATGGTGACGTAACGTAAAGTTCACTGTGCTATTAACGCACGAATTACATTAACATACATCATTAAAGCTGTGTAAAAAACCTCAAAATATAGTTATTTTATTTATTCATATTTTAACCTTTGGGAGTCCTTGCAACGGCTAACTTTTTACTTTTTATAAGAACTTGATGCTTTCTTCATTCCTAGTTTTATAGTATTATCGAAGTTGCAACTCCTTACAAACATTGTG